CGTCACAGTGGGAAAGGTAGTGGCGGTTTAAACTTTAAACTTTAAAGAGAGAACTGAAAAAACAAACAGCGAGATACACCTGGAGTTTTCCCTTTCGCCTGACATCCACCTGGAAGTTTCCCCTTTGCCCGACACACACATGTGCAAGTTGCGTCTGCATCACAGGGTGCCCATCATCAGCCCATGTGCACTCACGAGTGCCCGGCCACTAAACGCACAGAATGCCTGGGTGTGTCTGATTTGATTTTCAAAGAAGGAAAAAAAAGGGAAAAATCCCGGTGTGCCTGTGCCTAAACTTCCCTAACTAAAATGGGATGATCCATAGTAGATTCCATACACTGATGCCACCTATTCACCTAAACTAAAATTTTGACATCACGGGAGCATGCCAGCTTAACCATGAATACTACAGGGAAAAGAAAAAAGAAAAAGACATGAATACTGCAGAAGCTAGTAGCTACTACACAAACAAAAGTTCGCAGATAAGAAACGACAACAGCAAAAACAATTGGAAAACAAAAAATGAGGAGTGGAGGGCATGGGAGGCACAACACAGCTGGGAGGCAGCCTGTATTCTCCACTTGGGGTGAAGTGAACCTGTTTTCCTTTTTTTTTTTTTACTAAGCTTTGTAAGCTATATATATTCTTCTCTGAATTTCACCTTTCAGTATCCTACCTACCACTCCTCCTCAGCCTGTACAAAGGGCACACCCTGGAAGCATAGCTACCTCTCACAACTAAGGGGATACATGTTGCCCCCCACCCTACTCGGCGGTGGTCAGGAGTAGGCTTGGGCTGCCAGGGGGGGGGGCGGGGGGGGAGAGGGGGCGCAGGTAATGCAAAGACCGAACATTTTGCCAGTAGCTGCTCTTCCCGTCTACTCTCCCCACCCCCCTCACCTACAAACAAACAAACAAACAAACAAACAAACAAACAAACAAACAAAAACAAATTGACAAAGCGAACCTCCCCCCCTCCCCCCGCCCACCTGGCCTTGCCAGACATGTTGGGCTGTCATCCACCTATCAGGAGACGTGAGAAAGCCAAGAAATGGCATCTCTATTATCGAGCTAGAAGGTGGAAAGATACACTCACCATTCCACATTTCGTGAGGGGCGGAGCGAGGCCTGTTGTCTAGCTGCCTTTATCTCTGCAACACGAGCACTACCTACCTCACGGCCGTAGAAGGATTCGAAGTTCGAACCTTTGCATGTCGGCATCAAAAACACTTAGCCACACACATACGATCATCATGACTCCCTGGCAAGAGGGAAAAGGAAAAAGCAGGTAGCTTTCAGAGTCCATGAAAACATGAGGAAAATGAGGAAAATGAGGAAAACAAATTCAAAAAAACTTTAAAAAAGGTGAAAGGAGTTGATTATCACACAGTCCATATGCCTTTCCAATGCAGAAAGGGAAAGAAGAATGAAACCAACAAAGAACGGAACTCCAGCGAGTTTTGTTTTTCTGGGAACGAAACTCAAATTCAAAGAGATTTCAATCAGTTGGTGCGTAGCTCGGTTATCACATCCCCAATCAGAGTTTTGCTTTTCTGGGAATGAAACTCAAATTCAAAGAGATTTCAATCAGTTGGTGCTTAGCTTCGGTTATCACATCCCCAATCAGAGTTTTGCTTTTCTGGGAATGAGACTCAAATTCAAAGAGATTTCAACCAGTTGGTGCGTAGCTCGGTTAACACATCCCCAATCAGAGTTTTGCTTTTCTGGGAATGAGACTCAAATTCAAATTTCAAAGAGATTTCAATCAATTGGTGCGTGGCTCGGTTATCACATCCCCAATCAGAGTCCGTGAAAGAAGGTTTCCATTTGGTGGGGTGCGAAAATATGCGTAACTATGGGTCTTGTGACTGTGTGTTACTTCCCCACGTTTAAAAAGTTTTAAAAAGTTTTTCTTTTTTTTTTTTTGGGAAATTTTGAATTTTCCCTTTTTCTCTTCTTTTCTTCTCTTCTCTTGCTATTATTAGGAGGTAAAAAATCAGTTCCTGGCACTTCTTGTTTCTTGTTTGAAATAATCGAAACACATCAAAATGGTGCTGGCAGTACCAAACAATAGAAAGATTTTACAAAAATAGGTCAAATTATCTATGATTAGATTATTATAAAACAGATTAGCAGTGGTTAAAGGATTATTGATCCGCAAATTGAATAGAATTGTCATCAAAACACTCAGTAAACCCAACCATCCCACATTATGCACTAATGGTGGATAATCATATCTTTTTCAAGTGCTCAAAATCACTCCATAGATAAGTCATAAGATAGTGGCATTTATAAGAAAGATTTCTGGAAAGATGGCTAGCCCTTACATTTGTTAAAATTGGATGAACACAGAGGAGATTAGCATTGGCCTCGCAGCGGACACCTCGCAGCGGACCTCCCACCATACTTCCAAAATCAGGGTACCACCGTACCGGGCCCACAGGGCCACAGATAGCAGCATGGACGAACCGCGGTGCAGGGTAGTGGAGTGGAGTGGAGTAACTCTGGTACCATTGGTCGGTTTGCCACAGAGAAGTGGAGACAATACGTGAGGCGGACCGCAGAGAAAAAATAAAAAATAAAATTGCAGGACGTCATGAGAATTGTTTTGGCGAAATTAGCGGCAGTTGAAGAAATTTTCGGCCACCGACTTTTTCATTCTTTGACAACGTTTTCGATGGCCCTGCTTCCTTTTGGAAAGGAGTGTCTGGACCACCGGATGCTCTTTCCAGCCGCTGAATTGTTCAGCACCGGTACTACCAACTCCTGAAGACCGCCCGGCAGTAGGTGCCGCATCCCCACTTCCACGGAGTGGGACCTGCTTTCACCACTGCCCCTGCTCAACCAATGCCCATGGCCACTCATCCGCCCACGCTGCAACGACTACCACCAACCCCTCAGGAACCCCATCCAGTGAGACTTCGCCCTAAAAGCCTAGAACAACTATGGCCCAGTGGGTGGGCTTGGGCCGGGGCCCAGGTCCATCCATACATGTCAGAGGTTCACAGCAAATTTATTTATTTATTTATTTATTTATTTTCACAGCAGGTTGACTCATGTGCAGAAACTGGGAAAAAAAAAACACAAAACACACACACACACAAAAAAAAACAAAAAAAAAACACACAAAAAAACACACAAAAAAAAAACACAAAAAAAACACACAAAAAAAAGAATCATGCGGCATAGCAGCAGAACAAAGGCAGGAGCAGGTCACGGACTGTAAACATAGCCACCATAAATAGATGGAGCAGAGATATATCGTGGCTCCTTCCACTACTCTCCACATGCACAAAGGATAAAAAGTATGGCAGCGTATGTTTCCATGTTCAAGAGAAAATTCGTTCTCAATTTGCACATTTGGTGACTAGTGAAGCAAGGCCCAATACATGCCTCCTGATGCATCAGTGGAACACAACGAAACAGTCCATCACATCGGACCGATTCTTGTCCTTTTCTCCCCCTCTGCTTACAGGTCACTGGGCAGTTCTCTATATGTATACGAACCCCCATAAGGACTCGTAAACATGGCCATTATATCAATTTGTATGCCACAGATAATCCTGAATGATCATTAGGATAGAGCTCAGGAGTTTGCAGGCCAGCGTCCGAGGTGTTTGTCATCGTTGTCATCGTTCTTTTCACATAAAATGAAGGTTCAGCTTAGAAGAAACAAAAAGAAAGGGAAAATATTCAGCGCCCTAGCTCAGTTGGTTAGGCACGCAAGTGGCACTCAGGAGGTTGTGGGTTCAAGCCCCGTAATTGCCTGCGGCGCTCTTCGTGCCAACCAGCTGTGATAGTCCGCTTGATACCTCTGATCGATATCAGTAGGGTCTTTGGCCAACACGGGTGTGAACGCGAGAGTGAGCGGATTGTGTGTGGTATGTGGGAGAGAGTTGGCCTTCTAATGCTATTCGATTGGGTGTGGGGTTCGATGACAAGGGAGGCGCAGTAACTGACTAGCGCTGTCAAAACGCTCCGTCTTTGCGTTAGCCGGGACCCCGACCGGCAGCCCCACCCACCCCATCTCTGACTAGAGCTGTCAAAACGGAGGCCAACATGCAAATCCCTTCATTGCAAGATAGCTATGCTTGCAGGGGTCCCCTCTACAGTGTGAGTAGTGGTAGGTAGGTAGTGAAAGGCAAAAAAAAAAACTTCGAGAGAAGAGCATACGACAGTTAAAAAAAAAAAAAAGCAAGAGAAAAATGGACAGAGAAATAAATAAATACGAGGAAACGGACTACCGGACTACTGCAGCAAAATGTAAAAGAAACAAAACGAGCCCTGTCCAGACGAAAACAGAAGAGTGTAGAGGAAGGGCATCGCCGCACCACGCACGAAACGACAACGAAACAAGCGCATCTGCCCACACAAAATGGCAACATACATTCGTTACTCTTTATAGCAAATCGATGAACCTGGCCATTTTCTGCCCGAAGATGCACTCGTTTCGTTTTTCGTTTGGTCTGCAGTGCGGCGACGCCCTAAGGCTCAAACGAAACCGAAACGACAAAACAAAAGCGCACATCACAGAGGAGGATCTTGAACATTGCCAAAGGGATCTTACACCCTTAGAAAAGAAAATGCACTGTGACAAGCAATCATAAAGTGCCATAGCCCCCCCGCCCCCACCTCCTCCTCCAACTGTGGGGCAACCATAGCCTTGCTGCAACCCCTCCTTTCTGCTCCCGCAACCCCTCCTCTCCCCTCCCGCAACCCCTGTACCCCTCCCCACCTTCTCTGCCAACTTAGCCAACTTAGACTCCCACCTTCCCTGCCAACTCCGCCAGCTTACCCAACTTAACCGCAGCCCCTCCTTTCACCCCCCCCTGCAACCCCCGTGTCCAGCCCCTGAACACCCTTCGAAGCTAGACCTCACCTGACCACCTCACAGCGCATTCGTACAGACGACTCCCAACTTCTCTGCCAACAGAGCCCACTTATCCCACTTCGCCAACTGAGCCAACTTCGCCAACTGAGCTCCAAGCATAGGCGCCATTCTGATGGCAAATTGCGGACGCCTTACACACCTCGGCAACGCAGTGCGACCAGGGGTGGCCTTCAGAGCCCCAGACGTCAGAAGCCCATTTCCAGCAACCTCAGCCCCAGCCAGGACCCGCGTTCAAACTTCCATCTCGTCTTCGTACCTCTGTTCTGTTGCAATTCCTCAGAAGTCAGAAGCCCAGTTCCTGCGACCTCGGCGCCAGAGACTCCAAGGATGCGTGTCCAGCAACCTCAGCCCTGGAGACTCCAAGGATCCGTGTGCACGCGTCAAAAAAAGCATCTTCGCACTACGTATCTGTCACAACACTGTGATCATCATTTGCAGAGTTTTCAGAAAATCAATTTAATGACAAACATTCCTCCATGTGTACCAAATAGGTTATCTGAAAGTCGTCCTGGAAATAAGGAGAAACAGAAACCATCTCCTCTTTTCTCTGAATCAAGAAGTCATCTCAGAAATGAGAAAGGAAAAACAGTAACCTCCCCATAATATAACCCATAGACACAGGACCCATAGTTTTTTTCTATTGAAAACAGTGTTTGCATACCGCGACGGTCGACGGCCCTGAATGGTTGGCTGCCGACCAGCCGACCGGTCAGGCGTCGTCGGCACCCAGCAAAAAGAAAAAAGCGAAAAAAAAAAGTACTTTTTGCGTCCAGACTCCAGAATCCCTAATAACCCCACCAACACCCCCCCCAACGCCCCCAACACCGCCCCCCAACACCCTCATTACCCCGCGCCCCCCCCCAACACGAGGACTCCTTCCTCAACGCTCTAGACGTGATTGCGGTTACTCGACTGGAATTGCAGATGAGGAAAGAACTACCCCCCCCCCCCCCCCCCAAAAAAAAAAAAAAAAAAAAAAAAAAACACTGGAATTCGAGCTGCCTTTCCCACTCTGAAAAGTCGTTCAGCTGTGGAGTACAGCAATCTTCCATGTACAGCAAAAAACCCTAGAACCATACTCTGGATGATGCGCTGACCCCTTCTCTACTTTACACATGATGATTGGAAAACCCTATCCTCTCCTTCTCTACATCATGCCGCACTCCTCATTGCAGGTGCATCTCCACGCTTACGCTTTTCTCGCATACTGACAACATCTCCAGGTACTGTGCTCCTATGTCTGTTCCTTCCGCTCCTCTAGCCAAAAACATGCATTTTGCTTTCATCTGTATCTGTAGATTCTGTACCTGCACCTGTACGTGTGCGAGGTTACTGAGCCAGATGACTCGTTCTCCTGATCACGGCAAATCCACACCGTGCGCAATACTTGTGATGCCTCATTATACCCGAGGGCGAGGATTGCACCCACCAGATCCGCCGATACAAGAAAGGTCATTTGAACTGCTTATGATGCTATCTGGGGGCAAAATTTCCCTTGCACCATTCTGAGGATTGTGCCCACCAGATAAGCCCCCAAAAGGGGTTTGTTCTGTCTGCAAAAATGAAAATTTCCTTGCAATCAACAATGAAAGAAGGGAGAAGAAAGAAGTTGCCTTCTCCAAAGAAACCAAGTTCATCAAGGATGAAGGGCAAGGACGCGAAGGTACAATGGCCAGTCCTGATATCAAGAGCGATGGGTGGATGGACAGCGGTCGAGGGCCAATGAAGCAACAGTGGAAGATCCAGCTGTGCTTGACGAGCGGCGAAGAATTGAGAAACAAGTTTGCTTGATGGAAATAGAAGTCACAGCAAGGGCGATAGAGGTCCGGAATCCTCCGTAACAGCTCAGAGAAGACTCACAGATTCACAGTCGCATGCACCTTCTCGACTACCATACCAACCATCCATTGCGTGCCAACCTTGCGCCAACTTCAACAAGAGCTTCGCACTCACGTTGTGACGGCTCTGAAGCTGAGCCTACATACAAGCTTGGCCCAACTGCAAAATAACTATGAGAGAGATGCTTGTAATAACAGTTCACCACGCCCATGTTCGACCTTGCACCCGGTTCCCCTAGTCCCAAGGACTGAAACTGGCCCAAGGCAACCTTGAGACAAAGCCTTTCAACCAACTTTGCCCAGCCTTTGAACCGACGTTGCACCCGCTTTGTACCACCCGTGCGCCATGTCTGCACAGACTCTCGTTCGACCGACTTCGCACCAAGTTCGTCACAGCTTCACTCCCACTCTGCACCCATCCTCATCGAGTATCAACAGTGCACCACCACCAATAACTTTGTATAAGTTCTTGTTCCCCTGGTCCCAAGGAGCGAAATTGCCACAAGGCTACCTTGGGAACGCCTCCTTTGCACCAACTTTGCTGCCCCGCCTTTGTACCAACATTGCACCAGCTTTTTACCACCTCTGCGCCATGTCTGCACAGACTCTCGTTCGACCGACTTCGCACCAAGTTCGTCACAGCTTCGCTCCCACTCTGCACGCATCCTCATCGAGTATCAACAGTGCACCACCACCAATAACTTCGTACAAGTTCTTGTTCCCCTGGTCCCAAGGAGCGAAATTGCCACAAGGCTACCTTGGAAACGCCTCCTTTGCACAACTTTGCTGCCCCGCCTTTGTTCCAACTGTGTGTACCAGGTTTCTACCAGATGTGCGCCATGTCTGCACAAACTGTTTGTACCAACTTGGGTCCAACTCTGCAACCATCATCATGGAGTATCAACATGCACCACCAAAAGTAACTTTTGTACCGACTTCTTGTACAAGGTTCACCTGGGCCCGACGACCAAAACTGTGCCAAGGCTACCTTGGAACAAAGCCTTTGCACCAACTCTGCGCCCCGCTGGTACCAACGTCGCACCGGATTTGTACCAGCTGTGCGCCATGTCTGCAGAAAAACTCCTATTCCCAAACTAACCTGTGTAGAGTAGAAGACACAAAGCTCATTTCCGACATCTGGATGCTGTATGTACCAGTAAATAGGGGTGCATGGTGCACCAACATTACTCTCTCTGAAGGTTTGAGCTTGACTGACACACAACACAACCAGGGTTCACCTAGAGATACAAACTCTAAGAGATCACCCCATAAACACTCGTCTTGCATTCCCCCGATCCGGCCCCACAAGTTTCTACAGGGGCCTTTGTCCGCATGCAGATCGACCAGAACCACAGCATAATTACAACCCTCCCGACCAACCGACCCTCACCAGTTCCTGTCTTCTCCTTCCTCCCTCCCACAAAAGAAAAACACAATTACTTAGGCAGTACTGACCGCTTCCCGCCGATAGCTGCAGCTGTGTTTGTTTGGGAAAAAAAAAAAAAAAAAAAAACGTTTTGCACACTAGACTTCATGCCCATGGATTCTCTTCATTCACGGTATAATGAAAAACAACAAACACACATAAAACAGGCTCTTGCCAAAACTACATGCTCATCATGACAAGACGCAAAGTCCTCTGCTACACAACAGTCACGACAAGACGCAAAATCCCTTACTTAATGGTCATCACGACAACCGCGCAGGGAAACCGATTCCTTGTCCAGCTGTCTGCTTCTATGAATATTCACAACGAAACAGTGCAAATTCATGCACCCCGACAGCTCACGGTGCTGCCAGCGCACGGTTCAAAAGTCAAGTCCTGCCGCTCTCCTATCCAGATCTGCATATCTGATTCATGTCCATATCTTAGCTGGTGGATCATTGAGCTACAATGGTAAGGTCACAGGATTAAATCCTGTCAGCAACACTGTTCCCCATATGCACAGAACTTCCGCTCCTGTCGCTAACGCTTCCTGCCATCTCAGAAAACCACCACACAACGTATCAAAAGCCACAAACAAGCTATCAAAAAAGGAAAAAGAAGAAGGAAAAGAAAGCCACGAACAAGCGAGGACACCGAGTAACGAACAGCGTGACAAAGCCCCGAATGCCCTCATGGCAGCAACAGCGCAATGGGTGCCCGGACAGCCGAATCGCACTCACTCCAGCCGAATCGCACTCACTCTCGCAATCGTCCTGCTGCACACTTCTTTCTCTACATTACCATCAAGACAATCCGTCTGCATGCCGCCTCCAAAGCAACAGCAAAGAGGCACAAGGTGGAATACCAAAAACATCTAACAGACTATCACCGATTGACCAACCATTTTCAGAGAAACGGTGCTATCTTTGTGCGCAAAAATTGCTATGTTACTTGCGGCGACTACCACCACTCCGAAAAAGTCCCACCAGCTTGATTCTCCAATTCTGCTAGATGGATTGCTGATTTAGGCAGTAAACAGCTGCCGTACTTCTCATTACTACCGCTAAAAAAAGGCGCAACATTTCTGTTCTCTGATTGTGGTAGCTGGCATGCTGACCACTCAATCATTTTCTAATCAATCTCTCTGTTTCCGCTGCTGTAAATGATCTACACCAGACATCTCCTTCGAATGGATGTGTGAGATAACCTTCCGATCAGAAAACTGAGAAAAGGAAAAAGAAAGGAACACTCTGTGGCCAATAAACTTGTAAAACAGTAAAAGTGCAACGACCTTGCTTGCCACAAGAAAGGAGAGCGGAGGGGACGAAAAAGAGGAGTTAAGCCCATCAAGAGTAGGGCACAACCTTATCCTCTGATGACTCTCCAACTCACATCCAACTCAGCTTCGCCTCATCTTCTCAGGGATGCAAAGGTCCTCTTTCTGATAGACAAAAACCCGTCTCCTTTCCACACCCAGTTTCTTTCTGTTCTGCTCCAAAAGTACTCCGTCCTATTCCACACGCCGAATGTCATTTTTATCAAACAAACCTAGTAGCACAACTCCTAAAAATCTCTCTCTCTCTCTCTCTCTCTCTCTCTCTCTCTCTCTCTCTCTCTCTCTCTCTCTCTCTNCACACACACACACACACACACACACACACACACACTGCTTCACTAGGTTGAGAATGCGCCATTCTCTAACCATGTTTTTCCACCCCACGACATAGCCAACGGCAATGGCATCCGCACATTCCCAACTACATAGCAGTACTTACATGCACTGATGAAGGACACCTCCAGAAATATACTTCAAACCTGCAAACACAGCAGGTTTACACAATCCTAAGCACAGAAGCAGCCCTCATCTGTGCTTCGACTACACCAGTGATCCCAAAGGAGACCGAACACACAGCCTCCACAGTCTTCTACAGTCTCCTGAGCATTGCAAGAATGCCAGCAAACCCCATACTAACCTCTCTACTCTCTGATCTACGTCTACAGTTCTGCTCTGAGCAATAGCAGAACAACACTGGACACAGCCATCCAGCCATGGCACCTTGGTACTCTCTTGTCACCCCACCCTAACCCTTGAACCCTCACATCATCCGCATATCAGGAACCCAAACTTCACAGCACATCTATTAACTTCCTCATCCAAATCCATTTACATACATATGGCTACAATCCAATCCACTGGTGCTGTTCCCATTACCAAGTTAACAAGTCCAGATACTAGTATCTCCTGCCTCAGCTGCCTGCACAAATAGTACTGCGCTCAGGGGTTTCCCGACTGATCAGACTGTTCCACGGAGGACAGTCGGTGTGGAGCCGACTTATCCTACAGCCCTATGAAGTATCAGTGGACGAACTGTCACAGTCTGTTCAGGGGCTTCCTCACGCCTCAGACTTCTTTCACGAAGCAGCGTTGGTAGCTTTGTATCACCACGCGAATGACATCAACGAGCGATCAACAAAGTGGTTCATCCTGGCTTAACCGCTCAGTTCAAAATCTAGGGTATTAGTCAAACTTACGTCAACGTCATCAAGTCCTTTACTGAGCGTGGCCTTCAAACTCTGGTGCATTAATCAAACTTACGTCAAGTCCTTTACTTAGCGTGACCATCAACTAAATCACACGTGTTTCAGGTATTCAAGACCTGACGTAAAGCATTCTTCAACTAAATAGCCCACAGTTACCCACTCCTGCCTCAAAACCACAGCCTTCCTTGTTCGGCGAGTCAAAGAGCAGTTCATCTTGCTATCGTCATGTCATCTCCTTCGGTACTAACTTTCAAGGGGTCTAACGATAAGATTTCAGACATGCGGACTTCCCTTTTTTTTTTCATGAGTCAAGGATCAGTTCATCTTACTATCTTCATCTGATCTTCATGTGATCTTGTTCAGCTTACAACTAACTTTTGCGGGCTTAAGGTTAAGAGTTTCCCCATGTAAAGAGTTTACCCATGCAGACATTTTCTCTTCAACTTGTTGGAGGTGCGCCCTGCAATTACCTTCCCAATATATTCTTCAGCTCATAGTGAACTTTGAAGCAATGATTGATTGATCGATCGATTGATTGATTAACGCTATCACTCGTGGAAACATTCCGTCTCCGGAGCTGGAAGCCAGAGCTTCCCGCCGCTCGAGTCCATAACCAAACTTAGAACTGGCAGATTGCATGTGCCATGCAGAGGAACTATGCACTGCAAATTTGAACCAGCGCGCAACCACCAGACCAGGCAGCAGACCAACCTGCGCGAGACTTCAACAAGATCCAGAGTTTACAGGGCACTTCTCAACACATCACTGCTCCTTATCATCACAGCCGCCCTCTCGCTCACTCCACAGCCATAACCTTTGTTGTCGACGAAGTGACCAGCACTGTCATCAACCTTGCTTCCTCATGCATTGCACATAATGTCGCCATGACCGCCTTCTTGCTCACTCCACTGCCATCACCATCAACCTTCTTGTCGGTGAAGTGACCAGCAATGTCATCAAGAAGATCAAGAAGATCCAGAGTTTACAGGGCACTTTTCCACACATCCCTGCTCCTCCATGCATTGTACATCTTTGTGCAGAACATCGCCAGGGCATTCGTCCCTGTTGCTCCCTCCGGCACCATCACTGTCAACCTTCTTGTCCATGAAGTGACTGGTGCCGTCATCATCCAAAGTCAGGCTTGCCAACTTTTCCTGAGCCTCAGTTTCGCCTATCGTCAACTGGCCGGCTTCGTATGTTGAATTATCGATCATGCCTGTTGGAATAACTGGAGCTGATGCAGGAGCGCCTGGATCTCTATCAGGTGGTGGTGGGATCTGATCTTTATCTGTCAAAGTAGTTGAGATAGTTGCAATGCAAACCTCCTTCACATTCGATGCATCACCAGTGCAATCCTTCTTCTTCTCAGATTTCTCACACGAGTCATCAGTCAAACTTTCACCTGACACGGTCCGCTCCTTCGTCAGAGCTCCTCCATCCCTGGACACGCTTGTTCGATCCGCTGGAGATCCTGGTTCCTCAACGGTCTCACTACTCTGTTTGCTGTCAGATACCGAGTCCTTCGCATCTGGCGGTGCACTAGCCAATTCTTTGCTCATGGTAAGAGTGCATGCAGCCTCTGCAGCTTTCTCCGCAGCCTTGGACTTCGACTGCGCATCCACAGCCAAGCTCAGCGTCACTGACTTTTCCAACTTCTTAATATTTTCCTGGTCGTCCTGGACAGACTCTCTCCATTCCCAATCTCCCCATATGTTATCCGGCGTGGCTAGTGCCCTCACAGTCCCTTGCTGGCCTCCATCTTTGCCAAGACTGCCAGTGGTATTTGCGGCATCACCTGGGGATACGTTTTTTCTCCTCTGTCCACTGCTGCTCGCAGACTCGGCCTCTGCTGCTCTCTGTGCTGCAAGAGCTTGCTTTCTCTGCATGTTCCCTGCACAAAAGCCCAGAGAAGTGTCAATGCAATTGATCAACAGGACAAAAAAAATCTGAAACAGGGTCTTATGGACCGGATGGTACAATGTGTACGAATGAGCAAACATGCAAATATAAGCGTGAGGACATGCCACATGCCTGCCTGCATGAGACCATGCATAGATGCACGAGAGCATGCCGATGCATGCATGCATGAGAGCATGCCGATGCATGCATGCACCATAGTATGCAGATGCATGCATGCACCAGAGCATGCCCATGTATGCATGCACCAGAGCATGCCCATACATGCATGCATGGATGCACGAGAGCATGCATGCATGGATCCACAACAGCATCCACATGCATGCATGCACGGAGTACGAGAGCATAAACATGTTTCCATGCATGGATGCGCGCTCCAAAAAATGCAGACACAGGAAAATATAATAATATAGATCAATAGCGCTGCTTGTAAAACCGAATCAGCGTAGTCAGCTTTGATTTTAGGCATGGGCACTCTAGAGGGCAGGGGTTGGTGCCCACCTCGCGTACAAGTTGTGGCAATGGTCAGTGCGTTACCTTCAGCTGGGCTTAAGGTGGGTTATCAATTTCAGTGCAGTACTCGTCAGTTAGGGGACTCTGCAGACTGCCTATCAAGGGTTCAGCCTCCTAATGAGTTGGTCAAAGTCCAGTGAAACAGTCTGTCAAAGCCTCCCGTTTCTGCCTGCAGTTCACAGGGCAGTTCTCTGTGACTATATACATACAATGCCGTGAAACAGTCTGTCAAAGCCTCCCGTTTCTGCCTGCGGTTCACAGGGCAGTTCTCTGTGACTATATAAATACAATGCCTTACAACTGTTGACAGTGAACTGAGAGGTTCAGAGTTCACAAACTTTTTTAAAGTTCAAAGTTTAAACCCTCTTGAGATATTGTTCTAAGGAAACCGTTCTCTATGCGTACCGCCCTAAAAGGACCACACAAAAGACTCGAGGCAAACAATCTGGCCACATCGGCAGGGACTCTTCTCACACAAGGCTTATGCCACAGGCTGCAGAGAAGATAAACTGACAAACGAAAAATCAGAAAGCTGTAAGGATGGAATAGGCAGCAGGCTACCACCCTGCCCAGGACACAGCACAGGGAAGACTCCTCCATTACTCTCTGAGATAGAATTCAAAGTTGCCTGTAAACATCCAAACAGCCCATGCTCTAAAGCAGGGCAAAGAATTAGGCCGTGTATAATCACCAAACCAACAAGACATATCCAACCACAAAAAGAGAGAATAGCTCGCTAGTACGAGCCCGATACTAGCCACTCAAATCTGCTAAGACAGAGAGCTAGCAAGACCGGAATGTGTGTTGTTTTCAGAGACCCCAGATTCTCTCTCTTATTCCCTTCACAAATCATCACAAGCCATCCATAACGAGAAAGTACAGATAGGCAATATAATAGAAACTGCTAGGTTGGCCACGTCTGTGTGGTTCAGCGCCAAGTGTCCACACACCCGTCTGCCGCCGAAGCGGCACACTTGCACATATACATATGTATACATATATATTTCAAACCATAAGGGGACCTGAGTGTGTGGGTGACCTCCCTGGCTATGGAGGAAAACCCCAGGTAGGAGGAGGAGGAAGGGGACCAGGGAGGAGAGCGAAGAGGGACTTACCTGGCTATGGTGGATACCATCTTCATCACCTTGTTAGGTGCTGCATCTGGAAGGCCCCAGTTGGGGTAGCGCCGTACCAAAAAGGCTTCGAGGCAGAGTCAGACATGGTGGCCTGAACAAGCAGCGGACATAGCTGCTTTGTGTTGTCTTTTGCACAGCATGGCTAGGCCCTAGTAGTCCGCCATAGCCTCAGCCAATTGAGGAGGAAGAAGGAGGCCATGGCTATGGTGGACCTCTGTTAACGCAAATAGTAGAATTGGGATTCGCACTTTGATTCTGGCTCAGTCATTCATCATTATTATTATTATTTATTGTTTGAATATGAGGGGAGGCTAAGAGGAGGTGGAGTTGGTTGGCGAGAGAAGGAGGGGCTGCCTTTGGTCTTTGCTGGTGTCCATCTTTTTCTTCTTCATCTTCCTTCTCTCTCTCCTCTCAAGTTCATTCATTTCTTTTGCAATTGGATGGCATTGTGCTTTCTTCTTCATCTTCCTTCTCTCTCTCCTCTCAAGTTCATTCATTTCTTTTGCAATTGGACGGCATTGTGCTTTCTCGTGAATATTGCACTTTCAAATTGGCCAGGATCTTAAGGCCTGCCCCTTTCCCCACAAAATCGTTGGGCACTGGGCCCTTTTAATAAAACAATTTCCAGGCAGAAAGAAAAGGGGAGAACGAGAAGGGGGGGGGAGTAGAAAAGGAGAGGGGTGGAGGACACATTGGGCCCTTCAAAAGTCTGCAAGCACCGGGGTATTCTGTTCAGGGTTCGAACTTGGGTCTGTATTTCAACAGTTCACGGGTGTACCAACTGAGATAGGCCCGTTGGTATTCTAGCATTTTTCTCATCTTTTTGCAACTTTCAGGGGTATATCGCATATTTTCCCTAAACTAAAACAAAAAAAGAAAGGAAGAAATAAAAGAGTATTCCAAGACATGCTTGCGCCAAGGGGAGTGAATTAGGTGAGGTCAAAAACCATGACCGGAAATGGGAGAAAAAAAAGAAAGGTAACCTCTGCTCTGGGAATCCCAAGAGGGAATCAGACACGCGACATAAATGAGGAGGGGGGGGGGGGAAGGAAATAAACATGATCGAATTCTTTGCAGAGAGAAACACAACAACTCAATCATTCCATTCATTTATTCTAAGGCAATTGCCTGTGCATTCTTCATCGACCACTGACAAAGGTTCTGACAACAATTCTAACAAGGACTCTGAGCCTGTGCATCTGATGATAGAGAGGTTGGCAGAAGGAATGTGGCAAGCACTGACAAAGGAGAAAACAAGGGATAGAAAAAAGAGGAGAAAATAGCGTTTACATACGTTCCCGGCGACGCAACTCCGTTCTCGCAAACCTTTCCGCCCACTCCGCAGTCATCTCGAACACTGGCTCGTCATCGAAATCCTCATCCATCTCGTCCCCAGAATCAATGTCAGCTGCAGTAGGATGTTCACCATCATACCTGAACACAACCACGGTTTGAAACACCAATCAACACCAAATCCCACACTCACTCACTTACTCAAAAAACATGGCTGCACACAGAGAGAGAGAGAGAGAGAGAGAGAGAGAGAGAGAGAGAGAGAGAGAGAGAGAGAGAGAGAG